CAGGGGCCGATATGTTGGAATTGATATTGATGCTCTGAAGACGCTTGTTGAGACTAACCCAAGGCAACACACTCATGAAATGGCCCTGAAATTGCATGCTTGAAAACACCTAAGGAATATGGGAAAACTCTATAAAGAAGGTGTTTGGTTACCTCACGAACTCTCCTATGATCATCGTTTTCATAGTGTGAATGTTGCTTTGTCTAATCTGGCATGTAAGCGCGTGAACCATTTTTGGACAGAACTGCCACTGGTGATGAAAAGTGGATTCTCTATGTAAATATTAAACACCAAAAACAATGGCTCGGTCCTAGACAAAAACCACTTCCAACCCCAAAACCTGGACTCCATCCTCAGAAAGTGATGCTTTGCATTTGGTGGAACATCAAAGGAGTAATTCACTTCAAACTCCTCAATTCACAGCTAACTTTCAATGCAGAGATCTATAGTCAGCAACTGAAATGTTTAAATCAAGCCCTTCATCAGAAATGCCCTTCATTCATCAATTGGAAAGGTGTTCTTCTTCTCCACGACAATGCATGTCCACATGTGGCACGTTTGATGCAACACAGGATTATGGATTTGGGTTGGGAAGTTCTCCCCTCACCCACCATATTCTCCAGATATGGCACCATCAGATTACCATCTCTTTCATTCGCTGCAACACCATCGTAATGAAAAACGTATGCAAATGTGGAAGGTGTTAAAGAAAACATCAACATGTTTTTTGCTTAAAAGCCAAGTGATTTCTTTAATCAGGGCATTAACAACCTGACTTTAAGATGGAAAATCATCATCGATAAGAATGGTGGCTATTTCATTTAATAAATATTTTGTTTTGATATATAAGTTGTTCGGGTTTTTTAATCTAAAAAAAAAAAACAACATTAATTTCTTGACGACCTAATAGAATGGGATACTTGTATGTCATTCTTTATTTTAAGGTAATAGTATGTAGAATTCAGTTTAGTTAATACTTTTTGTAATTTTTATATTTATTTCATTCATTAATTTTTTCTTTTTCTGAGACTTTTAAGTAAAATTTTAAAATTTATACCCACAGTTGTTGTTTATTAACTGAATTTTTTTAGGGTTTCTTAGATGTTCTTTTTTTGACTTCAGTTTTTTAAATTCTTAGTACAGTTAATATGTAGTTCAAAGTAAAATTAAAACTGTTCATTTACCATAATTGCTTGAACAATTGATGATGATATTCTAAATAAAGTACCAGTAATTTTTTACTTTATCATAGCTTTATAGGAATTAACACATCAGCTTTAAATTTTAATAGAAGACTATTCACGTAATTCAATATAATTACCTGATTTTAAGTCTTCCAGAACTTGATGCCCCTGAGATAAAACCTGTCTAACTTCTTCCTTATGAGTTCCTACATCAGCTTCAACATCCTGTAACAGTATAATAAAAATAAATTTTAAAAATTCTTAATGACTGAGTTATTGTGAATATGAAATTGAATAACAAATATTATTGATATTGTATATTATTCACTTTTACCCACCAGCATTAACTTTACTACTCTAAACCAGCGATTCCCAAAGTGAGGGGCACACTCCCCAGAAAGGGTGTGTGAAAATGGACTCTTAGGGGGAGGCAAGTGATCAGGGTAGAGTTAATAGTGTATTAATGCAGAATTAAATGTTTTAATATATTTTTCATTAATGAAAATAATAACTAATTACTACAACACATATAGTATTTTAATGTGTATTTAGTATTACATCTCCTCACTTAACTTACTCTTTCACTCATTTAAAAAAAAAGGGGGTGTGTTTCTAAGAAACCATATTTATTAATAGGGGGAGAAGACATGGATGACAAACACTGCTCTAAACCCTTATAATATGGCAAGGTGTTACTACATAAAAAAATAAAAAATAAAACTAACTTCACTAAAAACCATCACTTCAAAATTATCTTCTTTTCTCTATCTTGTAGCCTGCTTTAATTTATAAAAGGATTTCAATGAAGGATATGTTCCTACAAAGTTATCAAACTACAAACTAATATTTTAGAATGATTTTTCTCAAGGACTAGTAAACTGATAAAGACCTTTAAAGTGATTTATTTATTTATTGTTCTTTACCTATTATTCAACCCATAATTCTGTTAAAGTAACTTAGAAATTCTACACTCTGATCAATAAGTATTTTTAAGCATTCAACAAAATTCTATGCCAACTGGAATTAATAAAAGGTACAGGAGTTTGCCCAAGTAGTATTTTCTTAAAACATTTAACAATTCTTGTTGTTGTTTGAGTTTCCAACAGTGCACTGGAAAGTTCTTGTAAATCTAAAGTTAGATATAAGCCTGACAACATAGGTAGTATGATTGCATATGGAAATTATCTATTAAACAAAATAATTTTCTGAAGTTTTTTTACTTTCTGAATCTGTATAACCTACCATAAAAACTAAGTTATCCAAAGATCGATATAGCATAATTTTAACACTGTGTACTGTTAAGAAGTTAATAATGAATTCCATAACAATCCATTTAAAAAAAAACTTACTGTACACAGTTAAACTGATATACTTGATATGTGACCACTTAAATTCAACATTAAGAAACTACTGTTGTTTTCCAGTACTAGAGAAATAGCATAAAACCAGAGCAACAGTTTCCTACTCTCAAAGATGTTATTCTATTAATATAATACATAAACGTATAATGAAATAAATATTCATGAGATTTATAAATACAAAAATATAAAAGTTTTGTTTGTGTACACCAGAAACAAACCTCAAGCAAAATTTGTTGATCTGCTAAAGATGAGTTATCCCACCTTTTCCCACCTTGTCCACTAGACAATGTACATTCAATTCTTTCTAACCAACTATTTACTGCATCCAAGCTACGATACCATTCCTGTATCTGCCAACTATCTAATCGCCTCTTTTTGGCCCCTCCTGCAGTGGATTGAGTTACCTGGGAAATAACAGTAATAAATGTGATGTGAAACTCTAAAAGATATTGTCAGTATGATACAATTAGAACCCAATTTCTATATATATATATATATATATATATATATATATATATACTATATACTATAATAGTATTAGTCTGTCTACACTAACTAACTAACTAC